AATATATTCTTAATAGAATTATAATTCTGCAGGGGAAGGGCGCGAGCACGGAAATCCAGGCAGTGCTCGGCTCAGAGTCTTTTTTCCTTAGCTTTCGAGCCTTTATTCGTGCTAAGGAAGCCGTTATCAAGCAGAAGAAGCGGCTTGCTCTTTTAGTCCCTCTTTCACCGCGCTATTATCTGTTTTTTATTGCAGGTGGACGAGATGTATTGATACAGCCGACCTGGACAAAACTGCCCGGACCCAGTGCTTCTCTTAATACATTTTAATCTTCTGTTTATCAGGCCTGGATGGTCAACTTGTCGGGCAATGCCGTAGAGGCAAAATGAAAAAATCCAGACGTCACAAAATTAATGTTTACATCTGCAGGTATCCTGTATGCTCGATGTCGAGATGGAGTAGAAGGCGGGCGGTGGCGTAGAGGCAAAATGAAAAAATCCATACTTCACAAAATTAATGTTTACATGTGCAGGTATCCTGCATGCTCGATGTCGATATGGAGTAAACAGGAAAGGCTTAGAGGCAACACTAAAAAATCCACCCCTATCAAAAACTATTTTTACATCCGCAGGCCAGCTGCAGCCGCCACGTGGGTGAGACTTTGTGCCGGGAACGGAAAAAAGATTGCTGCATGCGTGTTCCCAGCACATGTCGTTGGCGGCTTGCAAGTGCATGCCGTGTACTGGCAAACTGTATTTGCCGCAGTTTTTGGATTAAGCAATCTCAAAAAAACACGCTACTAAAGCAAGCAGAAAACTTTAATACTTTGTCTTCACTATGGAACATTACATGGGTAGTGAAGGGCCGTTGTATGCCTTGGACGATAGGCTGCGTGCAAGGCCGCTCGGTTTGAAGTAAGTGTTTTCTTAAGGATTTTAGGCTAAGCAAACTCTTCGCCAAATAGAACACAAAGGTCCATGCCACATAGGGCTATAAAGGGATAATGGAAGAGAAAATGGAAACTACTAGAGGGTTATAGAGGGTTTAGGATTTTGGATTAGGCTTATGTAGGGATATCGGGAAAGAAAATGGAAACTGCTATAGTACACGGGGGTTTATACCGGGATAACGGAAAACCCCAAGAGAAGAGGGGGCGCGGCTTGAGGTCGAACTTGGCGGTTCAAGGTGTGGGTTAAGGTTTGAGCTTGAGGGGTTAAGGCTTTGATTAGAGTTAAGGTTGCACGGCTCGGATTTAGGAGCTACGACTGCGGGTTGAGTGCTGAGGTATGCGGTGCTGGGACTGGGCTTGCTGGTCAGGTTACAGGGATTTGGAAGTAGTGCTATGCAGGGACACATGTACTTAAGCTGATCTGTTAGTTCCATCCTCACTCGCTGACATATAACAGGCACACTAGAGCCTCAACCCTAAACCCTCAAACCCTCCGCTGAACAAGTACCAAGAGGGTTAGGGTTCAAGACTCAGGTTTTACTAGGGGGTTCCTGACTTAGTAACTATGTATAACTTGCGTTGTACACTCGCTATTATTCGGGCAACCCCTATAAGGTCATTCAGGGGGTGTTATATGTAGGGTAATGAGCCCAGTTATAAGTAGTTACTATTTCCCATGAACCTCCAAGCAGGGTTTGGGAGACCCTACCAGACTCCAGCACATCGTGCCGGCAGCAGATCTTCCTCCCCGTCTATCGGGAGAGAGCAGACAGCCAAGCCTCCACTTTCCCACCCAAAAGGTGCATGTAGGCGTATGGTACATACTTAGAGCCTAGAGGGGTTCTCATATAACTACTTTGGGGAACAAGTATATACTATATACCTACATGGATCCTCTGGGCCAGATACAGACTGTGGTGTTATGGCCCAAACAAGATGGGAAGTATCGTGCGCACATGGTGCAAGAACGACATCATAACGGTAATGGCGGCGTTCGATCCAAAAACAATGGTTTCACTTGTGGGCGATGATTATGGTAGTTTCCACAAATGGGGCCACCTTGGGACTGGCAGAAACGTACCTTAATTCTTGGGAAGCCATGACTCCTATAAGTCCACATGTATTATGTATCTACATATACTCCTACACAAGCCTTTGTAGCCTCTAAGAAGCCCTCTTAAAGGAACCCCATTATGCGCAGTCTAGGTCCTTACAAAGATGACTCTAAACCTGAAACCCCTCGATCCGAACCCCTACACCTTAAGCACGAGATTGTCAACCTTCAGGGAGCTGTGCCCTCAGGAACCCAACGTATAAAGCCATAAACATGTTGTTCCCGGATGTTAACGCGTCCCCCAAACCCACCAGAGTTTAAGCCCTGAGCCATCAAAATTAGAGGCCCAACCTTTCTGGAGCCCTTACACGTCCCGCTCAACATCCCTATGGTTCTTACATGCGTCTTCCAAAATTAGGTGCCTGATTTTGGAAATTCCTGTGATACGGGTTTTGGGCGAAGAAACCCAAACCCAAAGCACCAAACCCTAAAACCTGAACACCACATCCTAAACCCTAAACACCAAATCCTAAACCCTAAACACCACATCCTAAACCCTAAACACCAAATCCTAAACCCCAAGCACCACTAAACCCTAAACACCAAACCCTAGACCATAAACACTAAACCAAAACCATGTCATCGCTGTGTGGGCTGAGTCTGAGTACAGGAAGTCGCATCCTCCAACAGCCTCGACACCCAGCAGCTGGGCGAGAAGGGTTTAGGGCTTTAGGGTTAAGAGGTCTAGGGGTTTAGAGTTTAGGGTTGAGGAGTTTGGGGTTTTCAGGTTAAGGGCTAGTGTTTCCGCGAATTGGGGCAGGCAAAAGGCTGGACCCTCGAATTGGCGTTCAGATAAGGGGTTAGGGTTTAGTGTTTTGGGCATAAAAAAATCAACTTCATTACAAGAGTTCATACACTTGTTTGTTACTATGTACGCATACAAGTAAACTGATATTTCTCTAAACTACACATACATTCATTTTGTTTTAACACCGATTCTTATGGTTGTTTCCCTCCTTTGGCAAACAATGAGTTTGGCAATCTCTGATATACATATTGTAGAGGGATGCTCTGGAAATGACGCCAGGAATACGCCCACGGCACATATGTTGTTCTACGCAATCACGCAAACAGGCACCCTGAGCTTTGAATCCTTTACGTGCAATGTATGACCTGAACCCTGAGTTTGGGTCTATCAACGTCAATGTCGAAGACCTTCGGCTCACAGTAGTATCGCAAGCTATCTCAAGCCTTTCGCTTCTTCAAAACCTCTTCGCCAGACAGTGCAATGAAACCTGCGTGCCGATCTGAAGCCATGCATGTCCAAGGCCAGGCCGCCATGCCCCCTTGTTCACAAGCAGGCGCACCCGTTTGCTGCCTCGTGTATTTTACCTTTAATCAACCCATGCATGGTGGCGAGTTTTCGAGGCTTCGGCAGAAGACATCTACGTGTGGCTCACTTGCAAAGCAACCCTGCTAGCTTCCCAGCTTCAGGGCATTGTGAACGACGGCATTTATGTCATGCTTGCCCATCGTGCCTTGGTTGACGGTTGGTCGGGTTCCCCCGATCAGGAAGACGAGTTGTGGTGGTCAAGTTGTTCTCGTGTATCCTGCAGGAGCAGGAACACTTTGGTGAACGGCACAGGACAGCTTCTCGTTTTCGCGCACCTTGCGTCCTTTGTCTCAAGGGGAGGTTGGTCCGGTACCGTGCGAGCACGTCCAGGATAACCCTGCAGTGGGCAGAGACAGCAAGCTGCATAGGACATGTGCATGTTGAGCGTCGCCCGTGACCATGAGCTTGCGCCTCCCTCGCTGCCGTTCCAGTGCAGCATTGGATCGCAGCGCAACGGGCCGGGGAGGCTCACCCATCATGCATCATCTCAGCCTAAGGTCTATAAGGTTCTAGTGCACCTCTGAAGATTTGGCTTGCAGACGGACGTGCAGCGTCGCCACGCTTGCGCTATATGAAAACAAGCAAGCAACAATCCCTGCATCAGTTCTTTTAACAGGCAAATTTTCGCCGGCTGCGCACCCTCTTGGCGGTGAAGCTGTTTGTCACAATGTCTGGCAAGCAGCGGAACCGCCTCGCCCACGCCATGAACGGGAACACGGCGCCTGCTGGCAGCAGTTTTGGGGAAGGGCGGGGGAGGGCCTTCTTTGCATTGAGTCTTCTTGGTTCTTCAGATGCTGTTCCAACTGAGTGCATTTGTCTTTAGCGGACTCGAAAGAGGTGGATTGCACGAGTCCTGCGTGTCTGGTTTGGTCAAATTGTTTTTTTCTCTGTTGATGTTCCGAGAGTTACAAGACTTGTAGAAACCCAATATTCGCATCTCTAGATTCTACATAGACAACACATCGGAACATGAGAGGCAGACCCACACCGTCATGGTGGACAGGGACTTCTTCGTGGCGCTTTGCGCACCGAACGGGGCTGTCCCTCGCGAAGCCCGGCCTGTCGACCTGGCTGAGCCGCAACAACCTGACGGCCCTCATGCGACGTGACCGTACTCTGGCATCAGACTCTGCAGAGTCTGCAGCGTCCTTCCTGGACTACTCCTGAGGTTTGCCTCGAGAGGCCAGGGTTGCGCGGTGTCCCAGGTCATGATGACATACGAACATATGCATGCGTTTTTACTCACAGGTTGCCCTTTTTCGCAACGCAGGAGCAGATGTCGGCCATTCAAAGGGCTGGTGTCTACGTTTACCAAGACCAGATTGAAGGCCAGGGCGTGCTGCGCATCATGCAATGTCTGGCGAGATTCATTCCGTTTGTTGGTTCGCGCGCCCTCGGAATGTTTTCCGGCAGTACACTGCTTATAAGAGCTGTGAGAGACTGTAGATTTTGGATTTGTTGTCCACTCCCACGCAATCTAGCGCGCTCTACATTGTCTTTGGCAAAGGCATGCTTTCAGCGGAGCAGATGGCAGCTGCGTTCTCCTCGACTGACGCCCAGGACGCGGAAGCTGATCTCGAGCGCATAGTGTGGACGCCGAGGGCAGCGCGAAGCTAAAGATAATGTTTTCGCTGCATCAGCTTGAGTCTTTCCAGGCTCGCGCGCAAGTAGCAGTCGTCTGCATGTCCAACCATTCGAGGCAACTTGCGGCTTGAACAAGCAATCCAGCAACATGCTGAAGGGCCGGAGCGGCCATCTTTGAGACCGGCGGCCAAGAGAAGACGAGTTGAGAAGGTTGGGTTTTGCATCAAGGAGTGTGCACCAAGTATGTTTGGCCGTACGCGTGAGATGTCATGCTTGGATAGCTGTCAGACTCTGATGTCTTTTTGCGCGCCGGCTGGCGCGCAGTTGTCCCTGACAGTCTGGAATCGTGCAGATCTCAATTGGTTGCGGGCGCAGTGCAAGCGTATAAGCGACACCTGCAAAAGTGAATCCGGTCAGGTGCAGAGTTGCCCGGGGCCAGAAGTCCAAGCTCTTCAGTGTTGACTGGGGTATGAAGAAGAACATGCCGTCGAGGCTCGTTCAGTGATTGCTTTGTGGACTGAAAGTTAGGGACATTAGGCGCAGAGTGCTCATGAGAGTCATGCTTTTGCAAATTCGCACTCACAGCGTGGCAACAGCCCAGCAAGCTGCATCTCTGGAACCCGCCCGGAGCTTCTCTTCCTTGCCATCTTGACGTGATTTTTGGGCGAGAATGCGGCAAGCTCGTGTACTCCGCCAAAGAGCTGGGCCTCAGCAGATCGGCAGCGCAGGTACCTTGCCGGGTTTTTGTGCGCCACATACTGCCGCCTGTGCGCCTGGGATGCCGGCCCACGCCAGCCATGCTAGATTACCGCCTGAGGCGGGCGGGAATGATGACCATCGATGAGGTGCAGTCTTGCAGCGCTCTTGTAGCCGGCATGTGTCGCCTTCCAACGAGTAGACTTGAAAGCAAACGCCTTTCCGCACCCCCCTTCGCCAAGTTGACGCTCACCTGCAGCTATTGAGGCTTGGAAGCCTCGCCTTTCAAGGCCAATGGCTCAGAAAGCTACGATGACAAGCCCATCTCGTCAACGACAGGAACGTCGCCGAAAGGCATGCTTGCAAGACAGCAAAACACATGCTCGGATGAGAAACAAGATGCTTCCCTGCCGAGCAGGCAGCTTCTAGAAAGCATCACCCGCAGCAGGGGTGTATGTGGACAACGGAAGACGAGGTGATGTCGGAGACTGCCTTCCAGGAAGCAAAGGCGTGGTGAACACGGTCCAGAGCAGCGACTCGATGTAAGACAGCCTGCGTGTATTTACCTGCGCAGGACTTCATGCCAGGTCTGTGTTTGGAGGACTCCTGGTGTGGAGAGCTTAGAGATTGCGCGGAATTGTGCGCAACTTCTGCACTTCCATTGTTCCGATTTCCAAGAGCCAAACCTGGAAGACTCAGGTGATCAAATCAAGTGGGGTGGGTCAACGAGGCTTCTCCGGAGAAGCCTTGTCCAAGCACGGCTGTCCCAGGCTTAGCTGCTTCGTTGCACACATCCATTCCTGTTGTCAGTTCCCAAAAATAAGAAGACTAACCATATCACATATGTCCGAAGTCAGTCCACACTTGCAAATGCTGAGCAACCAAGGCAGTCAGGCCCGGAGTCTGACGTTGGCCCAGACCTAGACTTCACTCCCACGCAGCGCTGCGGTGGAGCATTGCTTCATTGCTTCGCGGTCACTGGTTATTGTAATGGTTCTTGTTTCTCGGCATGAAGACACAGGGGCGAATCATCGAAGACATTGAGTTCGCCTTCGACCTCTCGTACCTGCTAACCAGCCGCAGCCGTGAGCTGAGCTTCAGTTGATGCACAACATCCCAGATGACTGGCGCTGTCTGCTTCATGGCAGCGCCCATTCATGTAGCTTGTGGTGAAACTAGCTAAGCTCGAGACCTGCTGGCAGCTCGGAGCGCCTCGTGACACGCCAGGCTGCCAAAGGGCACCGACCTAGACTTTGCAATGTCTGGATCTTCTTGGGTTGACTAGGTTGCTCTTCCGGTGGGCCTGGCAAAGCTCAGCGTCATGTTCCCTAATTAAGATTTTAAGATGTCTGCGGCGTTCAGGGGGTTAAGAGTGTGTGGAATCTAATTATAAAGTCTGGAGGTTTAATAGCTTGCAGTATAGGCCGCTCAGGGTTAAAGCTGCAAAGGGAGATAGTTATGGATGAGGAGACACGTTTGAAGCAAGAATAGCTGGGGAATGTAGGCTCAGCAGCAGACGTTGTGGGATCCAGACTCCGCGATATACAGTTTATATTCGTGGGCTTGTTTATGCATGGTGGTTCCGCCTTTGAAGTTGCAGTCCCCTTTCCGATGACGCGAGGGCAAAGGTTCCATGAAGTGAGTGGCACAGAAACCTTTAGCCTTCAGCCATGCATTCGTTTCGCAAGTTCGCTTTTTGCAAATATTGACATCCTGCGCTGGAGAAAGGGATTGTCAGGTACTGGCAATTAAAATAGCTAACTAAGTCTTCCTTGAGGCTCCAAACTCAAGTTCTTTGCAGGGCTCACACCCTGAGCCTTAAACCTTAAACCGTGTGGCAGTCCCTGCTGACCCCTGGCTTGCAGGCCACGTGCCAAAGCCCATCTCAAACCTAAGCCACCCCGAAGCCCCCCAAAAAAACCCTACAAAATCCACTGTCTTTGGAGTTTAAGGCTTAGGGCTCATAAAATGAGCTATATGGGGTTCCAAAGCCGCTCTGGGCGGTGAGTCTTCAAACTTTGGACTGCCCCAGACACCAAGCATCCGGTATGTTCTTATACAACATTTGCAAGCCCCACATGCTTTAGGGTTCAACTATGTAAAGCCTCGTTATGCAGGCTCTATGGACCCCACATGGTTTGAGGTTCGACGATGTACAGCCTTTGTATACAACCTTGATGGATCCCACGCAGTTTTATGGTTCAACTATGTAAGCCCTGCTCACAGGACGTTTGTAGAGTTTTTCTAGTGTAGGGATGAACTACGTAAACCTGACCCACTCCGTTTTCGGGAGGGGAAAAAGCCCGAAGCCGCCAGAATTTGGCAGTCTTCGAACCTGAGAAGTTATGTCGAATAACGTCCTGTTGGCGTTCTTCACGGGTGTAGGTTCAAGATTTTGCTCATTTGGGTTCAGGTAGCAAGTAATCCTCTAACCGCTTACAAGCCATCATTATGATTTCGCCACTGTCATCCCCCTCATTACTACTTACAACGTCCCCCTGACCCTAATAACCCTAAACCCTACATCCTAAACTACTAAATTCCCTTAACCCTGAACCCTCACCCCCACAACTTGAACAGTTTTCACCAGTTGTCAATTCCTCCATTCCAAGCTCCGAATTCCGTTCATGTTCCATGATTCGATTATGGGGTCAATATTATTCAACTTCACGGTTTGGGATTCAGGGCTTATAAGTGGAGTATCATGAAACTTTTAAACATCAACTTATATGAGCTAGCGTCTGAATTCCTTAGAAAGGGGTTATATAGGGGGTTATTACAGGGGACTACTATAGGGGTTTCTAACGTGGATATAAGGAGTTTAGGCTATAACCTTAATATAATTTTAAGCCGTGGGCTCCCTACTCGATTGAAAGCACAAATCAAGGCAGAGATCTGCTGGAGGATGCCGCAGAGGTTCGGGGCTTACTTGAACTCTCCGAGGTAGTACCTTTCTGTTAAAGCGCCACAGACGGATTAGATAGCAGCTATACAGTGCTAAGTTCTCCTGATGTGGCCCAAAGTATGTGGAAAGGATTATGGGGATAAGTGGGTGGTTTTATAGAAATATATATTGGCATGTAGGTTTCTGGTTAGGGTCTAGGATTTGGGTTCTAGGCGCAGGTCCGGGTTTTAGCGTTTAGGTTTGGATTTCTGAATTTATGGTCGGGGGCTTAGCTCTTAGGACGTTTAGGGTTCATGGGAGCAATCGTTTGTGGAAGTTTTGGGGTTTCACTTGAAGCTGAGAGTGCAGAGTCTTGGGTTTAGGGTTAGGAGTGCAAGGCTGTGGGGTTCAGGGTTTGACAGGCCTCGAAACTCGGTTTAGGGGTGTCGGGTTCCGGGTTTGAGGTTTTAAGGTGGTGTAAAGCCTGCACCGCGTTAATAACGTACAACCCCCCATTCCCGTTTAGCATTCAGGGATGACGGGGTGCAAGGTTAGGTTTCCTCCATCAACAATAAGGCGCGCAGGGCACAAGGTACGTGGAGGCCTGTGGCAATCGTTTTGTAATCCCTGCACAATCCCTCAATAACCTTTGTTTGGTTCCCATATTCGCCTTGTATAGACCCTAGCCCTCCCATGCCTTCCCCATATCATCCTCATATATTTGCCGGGTGTTTGCTGCATGTAGGGTTCAGGGAGCCTCTCGAAAAATCGTTGGAGGATTTGTGGTTGAAGGATATTAGCGCCACTAAGGGAAAACCACATGGAATCTACATGAAAACCGACATGGAAGCTTGGTTTATGCACAGGTTATGCATGTCGTAGCTCTGGATTGTTACGAGTGCAGGTAGTGGTCCTTGCATATCCTCCAACAAGATTGGAGGTTCCTGAAAACTTCGACGACTACAACCCTCCTTTGTTAGTAGTACTAGTATTATGCCCATACCATTGTCATCGCCCTTGTCACCTGAATCATCAGTTCATGTCAAGATTTGGATCAGCATGCTGGCCATCCAGGCTCAAGCCTGGCGTACTATGGCGGATGGAAAAATATCCTGACACCCCAAAAGGATTGGAGATGTGGTACTAGAGTATATTGAGGGTCAGGCAGGATCTTGTATATCAACAGTAGGACATGGGTTTCACACAACATGGGAACCCAAGCTTTCCAAGGAATGATAACGCCCTAAACCCTAAACCATGCGGACCTGGTTCTAAGATTGCGGGAAGGTAAAGTTGCTTGCCACAGTGAATGTTAGGATTACATGGGCCTTCAGTGGGTTTAGGGAATCTCCCTCCCCCAAAATGGATAATCAAATGAACAATGGAGCATGAGATGAAAACTAGGGTTCTGCAGAGGGTTTCTAGGGTCTATAGGGATAGTTAGCAATATTATGGTTTTGGACTCGTTACAAGATGTGATGAAGGGTACCGGCCATAGACCTCAAATTAGGTGGGTAAGTCATTAGGAACCCGTATTAGAGCAGGGGCATAAGAGGGGCAACCGCCCGGCAAAAGTGCCAAGGCACTGGTGAAGGTGCAGCTGCGATGCGAGGACAGTGGAGTTTGAATGGCTGAGAGTGGTGTGTGGGCTTTTGAAGTCAGACTTCCCCTCAGTGTTGCTTGACGCAAGAAATTGCACATGAGCTTCTGATGCCTGCAGGCATTGAGTTTGGGATCGGGGTCGGAGAACAGAAAGCTTCTCCCTTTTTCTAGGAGATTGCGTCATGTCCAGGAGGCTCGGACGGTAAGGGAGCTTTGGTTGCTGAAATGGGTAATTACAGGGGAAGCGGTCCTGGAATGTGAGCTCGGCCTACATCTCTAGTCGAGGTTGTCTTGTCGCTGTCCTTCCGTTGGTAAGAGCCGTGTGAAATACAGCCGTTCTATTTTGATATGTTGCAACTGTTTTAAGTGTTGTGTTCGGTGACGCTGGTGGACTGTGCTTAGCAGTCCTTGAAAAGTGGCCTGGTTACAAGTTCTGTTGTCACATCAGTAGACTCCAGGGATTTACCTCGATCCTCCTATGTAGTTCCTTCGTGGGTTTGGTATGTCTGCTGCGCTAATTAGAAGTCTGATTAGGGCCCGCAAGAAGGTACTACAGTGGAGGGTCTAGGTCCTAGGTAGCGGTGACTTTGGAGTTCAAGGTCCCTGAGTAACACGGCAGCCCACTTGTGTGCCTAAATCCCATTGCCAAAGCTTTGATTCTATCCTCTAAGCCTCTGAACCCAAAATGCTTACAAAACCCTAAGCCCTAAACACGCTGAGGCACAGGAGGTCGCCCAGCCTTCAAACCTTGCATTTGAGTCTAGAGTGCGCTTATGATAAAACGGAGACTGGAGAAGACGAACCCAGGTATTAGGGTTTAGGGTTAGGGTTTAGGGTTTAGGGTATCCACCAGTCTTCAAGCTTCGATGTTTAGGGCTTAGGGCTGCCCGTGAAAGCCTGGGACTGCTGCACAGGGGTTGGTTTGAACATAATGTTTAGATTTTGTTACCCTTATTTCCTATATAACCATTATCAAGCCAGAAACATTCAAAATTTGCAAGGTCCCCCAACCTTCCCTAGTGTAGGACATGGAGAGACAGCGCACCGTGATTGAGAAGGACCTGCTTCAAAGGCTCCAGGGGGTATCAATAGGAGCTAGAGTCTAAAATCCCTAATGGGAGGGTTTAGGGTTCAGGGTTTAGGGAGGTTATATAGGGGATTACATGGGGACCATTATAGGGGCTATCAAGGGGGTTACTGGGAGTTTAGACGATGGCTCATATGTCAGACGTTTCAAAGAAGCGGGAGTACCTTCTTTTGTGGAGATTGTCAAAGTTTTGGCCTCTTGTTTTGGGTAGGCCGTGCAATCATAGTCACCCCAAAAGGGACCACGATGTTAACAACACCCCTTATCCTTGGATAAGTGCGATCGCCAATTTCCATGGTGTTGCAATTTTATTTTCCATTGGATTCTCCCTTGTCCCTCTACACCCTAAACCATATACATTCCCTTGAAAGGCCCCCAAGGGTAAACCCTGAACCCTAAGTCAGGCTTGAGGGTTGGGGACTGGCGTCCATGTGCTTCTTCTCGTGGCTTTGAGTAAAACCTGGATGCCAAAACTCCGTGGGGATCCAAAAGCCCAATGTAGATAATGTTTACCTACTCCAGGCCCCCAATGTAGGTTTAGGTTTAGGTTTAGGGTTGTAGGGTTGTAGGGTTGTAGGGTTTAGGGTTTAGGTAGGTATTTATAGCCTTGAATCGCTAGGGAGTATGTAAAGCAGTGGCCCAAAACTCTAAACATTCTCAAGAAGGCCCACTCGTCTACATGCTCTGGGGGTTCAGGTAGATGTGTTTGCTCTGTACTTGTTGAAGACATGTTGGCACAAAACCTTTGGCAAGCAAGCAGCGCAAGAAGCAGTTGCGAGTCTTGTGCTTTGAAGCTTCGACACCTTCAAGATAGCCCAGCATCATCCCGCTAAACTCAACAAATCAAGAAGCTGAGCCTAAAGAAATCATCGTAATCCTTCTGGGTGACTTGTTACACACCTCTCTTCTCCATGAAACTTATTGATCATATACTGGGGCGAACGTGTTAGATGCTTTAATGTTCCAACCCAAGTACCCTAAACCCCAAACCCTGAATCCCAAGCGCTTTGGGCCCTGAATCCTGTCCGCGCCATGGCGTACCTCTTTACCTGGAGGTTCATGGAACTTAGTAACTACTTATAAGTGGGCTTATAAACCTTACTTATTAGCCCCTTAAATGGCGTTATGGGGATACCCACCTATAAGTAGTGTTGTAAGCCCAGTTAGAAGTAGATACCAAGTCCCATGAGCCTCCAAGTAGGGTGTATCTGTATTGGAGCACGTATCGACGTGCCACACGTGTACACAATGAAGACGCCTGCAAAACTGCCAATTTAGTTATGGTCATAGATCCCCATGTACAATGACCTCAAAATGGCATTGGCAATTCCCATACTCCTGGGAGGATCTAAAAATTAGATCCCCTATTTAGACCCATTATAAACCCTATATAATCCTTATATAATTTCCCTTATGGTTCTAGGGGATCTATTTTTTAGATCCTTTTGGGGGTCTTGGTTATTCAGGCCCCTTACGGTCATTGTATACAACAAGTCATGACCATCCTTGCCTTTTGAAGCCCCAGGCAGGGAGAGTCCTGGGGCCAAGAGTTTGGCCCTAAGACTGCTTGTGGCTGCTGACAATGCCGTTTTTGGGCTAGATGGGCTAGGTGCGGAAAGCTCCGTTTCTGAAAATTACAACTATGAAGGACGCAATTCATTTGTAATATACTTACCTAGTTTCACCTTTTTTTTTGCGATGTGTTTGGTTTGGGGTTCATTTGTCGGGTGTAGGTTTCATGGCTTGGTGTTTAAGGTGAGGTGTGGGCAGAGTTTGGTCAATGCTTGGAGAAGTTGAGGACGAGTCTTGTTTGCGTTTTGCTTTGGTGCATGAGGCGTTTGCAGGGTTTGACCCTACCTTCTTTCTACATACTACCGGAGCCTGAAAAAGTATGCGCCAGTAGCGTTGTCCCAAATTCCTTGTATAGAGTCCTTCAAAATGACCTTAACATTAGATTGTGGATTATTTTGGCCCCTACATTGCATAGTCTTGCAAGCCTCTATCTCAACGCAACCCAGACCCCCAAAAGGATCTAAAAAATAGATCCCCTAGAACCATAAGGGAAATTATATGAGGATTATATAGGGTTTATAATGGGTCTATATAGGAGATCTAATTTTTGGATCCTCCCAGGGGTCTGGGAAGCCTCTCTGTCAACCTAGCTTCCATTTCATGGTCCAGTGTCTTTTCCATGTGTTTTTTCATGTTTAGGTACCTATTCAGGCGCCTAACCCTGAAGCCCGAGATTTTTATGTATGCCGGGTAAATCCCGGAACGGATTGCTCCTTCGAAGGTCAATCTGTTCTGAAATCCGATTTTTGGGTTTAGGCTGAGTCCTGGACACCCGAACCCCAAAACCTGAATACAAAAAAAGGCCTAAATCTCACACCTTAAACCCTAAAACCTAATCCTGGGGCTAGCTTTTGGTCCAGAGATTTCGGGTTTAAGGTTAAGGGTCGAGAGGTGACGGCCAGGGGTTAAGGGGTTTAGGGTTTGGGGGCTTGAGTTTAGTGTTTAGACTTTGGATTCTTCCCCTTGGTTTTGGGAATTCAGGGAAGGCGTTGCTAAAGTTTTCGTTTATCGCTAGCTCGTTCTTGCTTGTGACAACTTCCCCGAATAAGCAGCGACACATTTTGGAAGGGGAGGGCTCCAGGCTAACCCCAAACCCTAAGCTTAAACGTTACAGATTGTATTACGCCACCTAGGCCAGAAACCCTCTATCTAATATCTAGGGGTACCAAAAT